TAACTGCAAACTTAAAAATTCAACTACTCTTGTATTTCCCGTAAGACAGTGAGGTCGAATGAGAGCCGAATTTGGAACGCTGCAAACTGGGCTTTAAGAATGCAGACACTCTGTAACACGAGTACAGAAGATGATTGAGGTCAGAGTGGGTGCGGTTACGGATCCCACATAAAACGGCGTTTGCGCTTTTTTTGAGATACCAAGCGAGTAAATAAGGGAGTGGGTTCCACACTTAACGAGAGAACAGTCAACTGACATCCCACGAAAGCCGCGTGAACAAGTTTTTCAAGCTGGTACGAAGAGCGCAGGACGAGGCCTTGTGGGGTTGCGCCGGTACTGGCGACGGGAGTGGAAATACAGTATCGAGCACAGACAATGGCATTTTTGAAGCAAGAGGCGTGGACGAACCTTCGTTAACCCATCAATTTCCAAGCAGTTTGGACAAAAGTAGGGTGTATCCGTGAGGGAAGCCAGAGAGCCTTTGAGAGCCCCCTGAGGAACCAGTCGGGAGACCTCGTGACCGCCTGCTGCAAGCGCGGAAACCAGAGCAGCGCGACAGCGCGCCATTCTAGACGAGAGTCGGTTGGTGCGCGAGGCAGACACGCCCGGCCAGCGGGAACCGGCGGCAGTGGCTGGCGCCGCCAGACGAGGATTCAAGTCAAGAGAGAGCGCCCACCAGATGCATGGGAGATGCTGACGGGTGACACAGGAGTTGCATTGCACCATCACGTGGCCCCCCTCAACGCGGAACCCACACAGGCATCGAATTACTTCGGCGCCGCGTTCAAGTGTCTGTCGATCGACCTAAATTATAGGAAATAAGGTCAACTGTAAACACTCGATACGAACGGAACTTACGTCTGGAAAGATCTAGTGGATTGTACAAAATTCAAGACGTATCTGATGCAGACTAACAAATCAGGCAATTAACCAAGTAATCTCTTAAAGTTCTAGTAAGAAAAGTATCAGAAACGGGACACCGGGGATGCGGGTTACCTTTTTGCGTGCAGCACCGCTTCCGGCAATAACGGGACCGGAGCCCTTCGAAGAGCCCAACATGAGTCCGGCTGATGGAAGAGGGACCTCCTTTTCTGGGTGATTGGTCGCATGTTCTGTCTACGCACAAAAAGAACAAACAAATTCGATAGCATGAAAACGGGTACTTTTCTAAGAACAACATTACAGTTGCTAGAACATTTTGCTTCAACTCACACTCATCGCTACATCCCAGAAGTCAAAGGCAGAGCTTTTGGATCAGAGGTTACACCGAATAGGGGCTGACCAATTAAGACAAGCGGACAATCACACATTTAAACGTAGAACAAGCAAAACCCCATTTTTCATGCACGAACTACTTACTCTGAGTTGATTGTACAGAGCCCTAATTTGCTGCAGTTGCTTTCCCAACCAACTCCTCCTTCCTGCGTAAGCCTCCCACGTGCGTAGCAGGAACTCCAAGAGCAGATCCAGTCGCTGAAAGCCACCCACGTCCAAGTGGGGCAGAACGCTCAGCAAGCAAAGCGGGGGCCACTCGACGTCAGCACTGGGATAAAACGGAGGCTGCGCCACTGATGACACGTCAACTAATTGAGGTGAAACCGTACGAAGGATACGCGACTGAAGCGAGAAGTCACTTCCCAAGGCCTGTTCAAAGTTGCCCAGCAGACCAGACACGCAAATGTAGCGGTAAAAGTCGGGATTTCGTAAAGGACAGGGCAGGGAGAGCAGGGGGGCGGTGAGACGTGTCGACGAATCGCACACATCAGGGATGTTGAGGAGGCGTAAGTAGAGCTGACGAACGGTAGTCTGTTCGTCGTCTTGGGAGGACTCAAAGGGGTCGGGGATTGGTCTAATTAAAACAAAGGCCAGATGACTGCAATGTACTCGCATGTATGCAGAATGTAGAATTCGAAACAATTCGAGGCTATGGAAGTAGGGGTCACTTTCAGTAGAAAACTAGTGCGGTCTGTGAGTTATACTTAGCCAGACGAATCGAGAGCATGGTTTGAACTGAACATACTCAGACAGGCGAGAGAGAGGGAAGAAGCCACTGCGAGAGGGAAGTTCGGCAATAGGACCGGCCGCGAGAAGCTCCTGCGTGGTCGTACTGCCCGCAGCCGCAGCCTGGCCCCGGTTCCGCCTTTGGAATTTCCGTCGGCCGACTTTAGCGTGGGTTCGCAGTAGGAAAAGACGCAGTTCATGGCTCTCGTAGTGCAGTCGCTGACAAGACTCGACACTGATGGCATCCATGGGCTGCCTTTCCACTGACATTGGATCAAGTCGAGAAACACAGGCAGCCTGGGAAAGAGAAAGGTAAATGGCTTTCAACGATTTCAGACGAGCTCAAACGTAGTGCCTTACTCCATAAATATTGAAATTTACAGGGCGTTGTGGTTGGAAATACCCCTTACGATAGTCATCATAGCCACCTAGATGGGTAAGCGCCCGTGAGTTACCTTTGGGGAGTGATCGAGACGCACGGGCTTCGCAGGATGTTGTGCTGATGCTGTGAAATGTTGCACTAATTAGTACCAATTATGAGAAAGGCGTTTTCACCATAAAATGTCAATATTCATTCAGTTTTCTACGGCACGTGGACCGAAAATCAACTAGGCACACCGACAATTACAAGGTGCTAGGTGTAGCGGTAGGAAAATGTGAGATGAATGGAGTAAAACAGAGTAACCTACAAAATGAAGCGTCAAGCAAACTTGAGCTGTGTACCAGACGGGCATTCCCTCTTTCCAACCATCAATAGCTAACACTTGTGGCAACATTTTAGTCAGGCAGAATAGAACAGAACAGGGAATAGTTATATAGGCCAAAAGGAAGCTTTGTTTGGATTCAACGCTGATATTTGACGTGGACGAAGACAGTGTGTGCGGAATGCCTACTCTCCCCGACAATGTTGCCCATCCGGCTTGATATGAGAATGGAACAAAGCCTCCACGTGAGCAGCTCAGCCCATGGTGTAAGGGGACACTCACCTCGACCAGTGCTTCCTCTGGTTTGCGCTTGGCCGAGGGCGACGTGGAGGTGAGATTGGTAGGTCGTCGGCCGCGCTTCCCCTTGTTAAGCACTTTGCCCTCCTCTCCCCTCTTCTCCTCGTGGGCCCCGTCCACAAGCCGCGCCCCTTTCTGAGCGTCCACGACAGGCTCGGGACTAGCAGTGCCGGGTGGCTGGAGCTCAATGAAAATGTCAGGAGCACTAGATGAAAAATAAAGGGGAAAGCAAACAATGGAAGTCTTGAGTCAAGATTTTATCGGATAATCGCTTGGAAAGGGACAACCACGGTGACAGTAAAATACATGACCTTGGAAGCACCAGAATCGCTCAACAACTGCAAGTGGCAAATTGACTCACTGTGTTGCCGAAAATCGTCGGTAATTACTTATTGTCAATGACATAGCACACCTATTAGCATGTGTGAAAAAAGGCACTTATCACATCGACGCAACTCCTGCACCACGAAGATAGGCGTGAGCAAGGGTAATAGAACATAGATTTAAAAATATGTTTCGTTTTCAAGACTCTTAAATAGGATAAAATTGGATTCTACTCGGGCAAAGACATCCATTGAAGGAAAAGCAAGGTCAAGATTTCTTAAAGTCCCCTAAATTTTATTAAAACTCCGCTTAGCCTATTTCCAAGAAAACTATTGTGGCAGGAAATTAAACCAAATTTTAATGGGTTAAAGTTCAGCCACAACTTGTTTAAATTTCTCCGGCACATCATGACAAGAAAAAATAAGTTCGACTACATTAATTATGACTGTAGTGCACGATAAATTAGGCAATTGCTAGTCCACACGACGACGACGACGACGACAACAACTGCTGATCAGCTTCGAGGGAAAGGGAACCACGCATTTCGTTGGTTTGTGCACAGCTTAACAATGCGAAATTGGAGAGATTGATGAACTCCTACTTAGGTCGATGCAGTGGCAACTTCGACATTGTGCAGTTGTAAGACACCTTTTGCTTAATTATTTCGTCACTGCGTTTCACACACTCAACTAAAATGCATAAACATCACCAAGTGTGCGTGATGTGTAGACAACTACGAAAGCGCGTGCGTCAGAAGCGGTGCCACTGCGAATCTAAACTCTTTCGCGACCTTGAAATCCCCAATTACACATTGCGGTGGATTCAACCTATGCAAACTTGTCAGTGACATCTATTGGGTTTTTGGTATTTTGTAATCACAGTAGATTAAGCATTTCCCTTCACTACAACGTGAATAGGAGCTTAGATTAAAGGACTTCACAAGCTACCAGGGAAGGCACAAGGCAATCACTGAGGCCTAGGCCGAGGTTATTAGGACTTACATTAGAGCGGGTTTCTTCTCTTCAATAAATCGGCTGTTTGCAGCAGATTCGGGGGTCACTTGTGCTATAGGGAAGACAGAAAATAATGGGTCGGGTTCTAGCACTAGTCAAAACACGATACATTAAAGATTCTCAGGTAGAGACCTTTCACGACTCGCCTGTCTCTGCGAGAAAGGCATCGTTCTCAAGTACAACCGCAAAATGGTGGTGGGGTGGATGAAATCCTTGTGGCCAATGAAAACCAAATCGAGTATACATCGATAAATGCAACCCCCATCCACGGGAAGACAGAATGCTGAGTATTTACTTTGCGGTCCCGTTCTTGTGGCTTTGGCTTTACGCAAACCATACAGGGACAGACTGAAGGGCTAATCGCCTATACTGGCACTTAGGTTAACTAGCTAGGGCACATAAAAGCACAACAATGATTGCGCTACGTATGCGCTAATGCGTGCTCGATAGACGAAACGATCATTACTGGACTAATTCCTGAGGTAGAGGGCATTTGGGGAGGTGGGCTCAAATAAATCAGAACTTCCAGAAGTTAATTAAGCATAGGCGTCTGGCGACGAAAAATCGGAATGCAAGAAGGACAAGGCACACACAAACCTTCAACTGACGTTCCCAAGACCACTGGTGAGGGTCTCGGGATCTTGGGTGGACGCCCGCGAGGCTTTGGAATCTTGACTTCGCCTGGCTGAGGCGGCAGGAGCGCCGGTTTTTTGGGTTTGCGTCCACGCTTCGACGGAGTGACGGGCGACGGGGTCTGCTCCGCCTTACCTGCCCCCACAACGGAATCAACAGTGGAGAGAACATTGTCCTCCCGAGTTGGAGAACCGTGCATGGGGGATGAGTTGAGAGAGGAAGCGACCATGCTAGCGAAACCAAGAGCGGCAGCCTAGGGGGGAAACAGGAGACTAAGACCGGCCCTGCGGGGAAGCAACAATGCATGAAGGGATAATGATAGTAATGAGCTTGAGGAATGTAGCAGAAGGCACTATGTGAAAATAAAACTCCTTTTAAGCATTCCGGCGATTTAATTCACACAATGCATCTTCGAACCAATTCCAAAGGAACCACGTCTACACTAGCGATTTCCTGATATCCTTCAAATGTGGGAAAGAACAGAAAACTCACTTCACGCTTTGGCCTGCTGGAGGGGGAGCCGCCATCATCAATTACTGGAAGCCCACTCCGCTTACTCGGTCGTCCTGGAAGAAAGAAAGCCATCTGGGCACTGGACAAGCTTCACAATAAGACAACTTTTAAATTATGAGCAGTTGTAGCTCTGTTAAACAGATAGATGATGTGATATAGTGTCAAAATTGCATATGAAAAACCCATGTCTACGAGCTGCCCTAATTAGTGGTGTAGGAGGCAGAAAACCCACCATGATACAGATTCTAACGTTTAAAATACGAGACATCATCACATTATAAAGTCTGGAGGTCTATTTGGAGTAATTAAATACGATTATGTGTGAATGGACATTTTAGGTATGTCCTACACAAGCTTGAGTTCTCAAAGTGGGAAACCCACTGGCCTAGCATCACGGAGGAAGTGATGTCCATTTGGATGCATGAGCTGTGATGTTTGAATTATCACCTTACTCCAGACATAGCTACGCTAACCACACACATACCTCGAGGTCGTTTAGCGGGGGTGTTAGGCGTCAGTGCTGTAGGCGTTGACTCGGTCGATCGTTCAGCGGGTAATTGCACAATCGATCCGTCCCTCGGGAACGATGAAGGACTAAAACCGGCAGCTGCAGCAGGAATCTCATCTTCAACGACCTTGTACCGTTTGCGAGGTGGGAGGGGTGTTGACGCGGGAGAAAGAGGAGCCGTGGGTGGAGAGAGGTCGGCCTCGGATTTCTGAAGTACTGACGAAGCCTGGTGCAATACGGGGACGAGACCCTTGCGTTTCCTGCCGCTGCCGCTGCCACCGCCGCGGCCCCGACCGCTGCCACTGCGATTGGGCGATGGCGTTACCGGGTAGTACGAATTATCAATATTTTCCTGCACATTAAAGAAACATGTGTTCTCAGGCATTATCAGCTTCAATCAAGTATGAGACAATTTAAAACGGTGGTAGAACACGACAATGTGTTCCCTAATCTCACAAAACCTCGGCTTTTCAATATTTGCACAGGCGCTATCATGCAAATTTGGAAAAAATTGTATTCAGAGACGAATCACTTGAGGTGAAAAGCAAAAAAACTCACAATCTTAGCAATAACGCCTTCGTTAGATGTATCGAAAGCACTTCGCATAGACGTGTGAACGGGAACATAAGATCCCGAGGCTTCAGCGAAAGCAGGAGAGGACGCGATTGAGAGTGACGTCTGGTGACATTCCATACCAACAGACGTGGACGTAGGAGTGCTTTTAGAGGGATCCATATCTACAAGCGAACCCAAACAGAGTTTACGCGATAATGCAATTGTTTGCTGTAAAGCTTTACTAAAACATCCATAAAAAAAAGATTTCTGCGTCACCAGGGAGCTTCTAGTCGTGGAGCCCAATAACGGCCTGACTGACGTACCTCAAAGAGCCAGAAGGCAGGGGAGTTACACGTCAAACCCTTCTCTCAACCTCCAGGTCTCGATAAAGTCCATGTTATGAATCAAGACTTGGACCAACGACTTTGTCGAGGTGTTCAAATGTCAACTGTGGTGTAGCATGACCGCCGTTAGCGATGAAAAGACTGTGAACACGGCAGTCATGGTACACAAGAACGCCTCGAACTCTTCTACACAATCGCGTTCGTGTAGGAGTTTAACAGTTTAACTGGACCGCCACTATGACCAGAGCATGTCACTTCACGTGTCCACTGGTCTTGCGAAGATGGCCGACTTCTTAACTAAAATTGGCCATTTGGGGGGTCGGATCTGATCTTGAGTTAACGTCTTGGGGGCGATTCGACGTGGACAAATATTGCGATGTCGGGAACTATAATCCGCTTTATTCTATCAACGAAGTACCAACAAAATTGAGGAGTGAGGGAAAGTTATTCACGAATTTCCACCTATGACGGACGACGTCATGTAAAGCAGTTTGAACGGTGCGTGAAGACAACGAAGCAGGTGATCGGTTCTTTGAGGAGGAATTCACGTTGTAGAAATCACGCAAAAGTAGCAAGACGCGGAGCAAGGGAAAAAGAGACTATGCAAACATGGGGTGCTAGATTAGCGGGACGTGAAAACACGGTGGAAGGGAACCTTGGGTGCGTTGATGTCGAGTTGTGTGGAAACTTACGGGATAGAGAAGCCGGGGGGTTATGAAAGGGTTGGACGTAGGATGAAGCCCGCTCAAAATTCGGACAAGACTCTGTCTCGGAGGGAGCTGTGGCGGCAGTGGCGCTGGTGGTTGTCGTGAGAGATCCCGAGCTAGCAGGACCTGTCGACAAACGCCGACTGCGGCCACGCGTTGTCCTCTGCTCCGAGCCCTCGTCTACGCCACCAGGCACTATCTGGAGAGAGAGCGGAGACAAGGGGGTCGCGGACACACCCCTGACGTCGACCGCAGAAGCCATACAACTGACAGGAACGGGTTCCTGGGAGTGAAAAGAATGTGGGTTATGGCACTGTGGTTGCGCATTCAAGGCGAGGCAAACGAGTCATGTTGCACATCATTTGACTGACAAGTTGGGGGCAAAGAAGTATTTGAGGAACTGTAGAGTACACCTGGGATGTTACACTAGGACGAACGCTGTAATCGAACTTATGCAAGAAAAGGTCGCTGTTACGAAAATTGTCAGACGTCTATCCGAAGAGCCGAATGTGTATTATATGCATCTAAATGCTTCCCGTAAGGTCGTAGTCTACTGAAATCCTGACGCAACTAGACTAATACCCTGCAGATAATATCGAACGAGACCTCCACCATAAGGAACTTCTTTTACGCAAATTCCTCAATGATTTCAACAAAAACACGTACAACTAAGTAGCAAGACAACGCGATGGCTTCCACGGGTAAAAATGTTAGCCAACCACGCAGTAGTTTCACAACAGCATCCTGGAACAATGCAATTTACGCGGCTAAATACCTGTCATGACGTTGATTAGTATGTAAAGCAAGACCCAATTGGAGAAGGTTTTCCGCAAAATAAGCTCACAGCCGAAGCTAACAACTTCTTCATTTTCATAGGTCTAGACGAGGATAATCACTCAAATTTCAAGATGCTTCCACAAAATCAATCGCTTAAGAGCTGTCTTCTAACATTCTGACAACAACATTCACACAAATACGTTTGACCCGGTAACCATGGAAAATCCTGAAGCAGACATATCGAGAAAACTTCTTGCAAGCTCAACGCAAGGCACAGAGTGGAATGGGTGGAAAGAGGACAGGCTTGCTGAGTTTCGGCACTTGCAAGCAAGAAAGCCGTGCAATTACAAACAGAATAAGAAGAAGCACATAATAGGCATAAATCATGGAAGAAGTACACACACACACACGCACGCGTCGAAACAAGTTACGGGAAGCTATAGCCGAGCTCTTAGTCGGTCTCCTCCATCAATTATAATTAACACTTCAGAGTGAAAGACGTGCGACTGCGCCGCACACCGGATCATAATATTTACGAAACGACTGCCTCGGTCTAAAGTGGAGGATTGTTGCATAACTCCCTGAAAAAGAGTGGCATGATGACCAGGGACTTTGACAAGTAAGTTGATTAATGGTAAAAATTAATTAAGGAAATGTCGAACGTCGTTTTAGCAGTGCTAGGTGAGCAGCCCAAATAGTAATCCCTCCTTCGAAATTCAACATCTATAAGCACTTGAATAAGATGCAGACGAGCTAAGAGGCTTCAGCAGGGAGTGATGTAACGAAGATCCACTGCTGTTTTCTGTTTTGACGGAGAGTCCGCAATGACAACTGATATAGATTCGCCAACGTAGGTTCTAACTACCTGGTCATCACCAAGTGAGGAATGCATGAGCTCCACAGTCACTCAAGCTTTACACAGAAAGGGGAAAAGAAAAGTGACTGGGAAAGATGGGTGAACAAAGAGGCGCTAAATCAGGCCAAACAGGGCTTACCTGAGCTGCCTTCATCATGGCATCCCAAGTGACGAGGCCGCGAAGCTCGCGCGGAGTGCTGGTGGAGGAGCGTCGGACTTTGGTCGTGCCGCCGGCCGCCACCTTCGCCGCCGGGTCGACGACAGGCTGTGCGGTCAGCACGTCCACGGAATTGGCTGTTGTGTCTAAAATAATTAGTGAGAAAAATAGCACCTCTGGTGGAAAATACGCCAGGCCTGTCGTTCACCAGGCAATTAAATCAAAAGTGATTTACATCTGCTGCGTAAGTCTGTCAATTGGGCAAAAGCAGTTTGCTTAGTTCAGCCCACAAGGTGAGTGGAGCCTCAACGATGTTGAAAAATACCCCGACTTGATGATAAAGGGTTCAGCGGTCAGTTTATCCTGTTTTTTTTCGGACATAAAACACTGACAGCGATACAAATGGATACCAACTTACCGAGCAGGGGCGAAGTTGCTTGAATCATTTCAACCGGCGACGACGCAACAGGTGCCTCTGGGTTGAACGAAGCTGACTTTGGTGGTCGTCCACGTCCACGCCTGCTGGAGGAGGTAGGTTTTTGTGATTTCATGAGAGGAGTTTCGGCAGAACTGACCGCGCTCATTTGCGAAAGCGATGGCGCTTGGTGATGGTGATGGTTGCAGTAGCCGTTAACATCAGGCGTTTTGTTATTGATGGCGGTGACGGAAGGCAGTGAAGGAGTAGGTTGAGATAATCGAGTGGTTGTTGACGGGGGCAGAAGGATGTTGTCCACGGCACTCTGGGCACAAAACGCCAAAAAAAACACGAGAATATTCAGGTTTCCCTTGTCAAAAACACCTTTGACAAAAAAAACTAAAATAATGCTCGAATACAATTGTTATAACCATTTCAGCCTTTGGGAAGTCCACAGGGCACTGTGGGGTCTGTATTGTTGTGGACCCCAGCATGTGGTCTTGAACCACGCCGGGGCCACTGAATTTACCCTGGCCTGATTACGCTTCCTTGATGCCCACGATGAAGAAAAAGACCGGAGAGGACGGGACACAACTGTCAACTTCAGAGCTCAACCAAAGCTGATGTCGTTGTGTCGTGTGTGGGGTTTGCGCGTGTGTATTCATACCTCGGATGTGTGAGTTATACACGCGCTAACATCGAGACCTAGGCGTGAGGTTAATCCAAGATAAATATCCGTGTGAATGAGGGGGGAGTTGAGGATCCGCGGGGCTGGCGATATGATGCGAAAAGGGGAACCCTATGTCGGAGGTGGATCGATCGGATTAAGGGGTGTGAATAAACACGATTCACGACAGTACAAAGCGACATTCTCATGTTTTTAGAAACAGCCAGCATAAGGAGGTGCCCAGAATCACCATGTACTGGACACACACGGCATCTTAATCGACCGAAATAATGATAGACTTGGCTATGAGTATAATCAAAAGCTGGTTTAGTTCCCCGAATTCTATTCATATGTTTGAGCGATATAGTGCGCACTATGAAGGATATGCTTCGACGCAAGAGTTCGGTGAGAACTCACCAAAAAATGCCGGACACACCGGGGAGTGAGGCGTTGTAATCGGGAAGATGGTGACTTGAGTTTATCGGGCAATCCACCTAGAGGCAGACACAACGGTACCCACGAGGAGAAAAGGCGTTTGGGGGACTGTGGGGGTTTCGGAGGATGACCTCGTCGTCCCCCACGCCCTCCGCCGCGTCCTCTACCACCCCTTGGTGAACTACCGGGAGTTATAACCGTCCTCGATGGATCTGAGGCCACAGGCACGGGGTGAAGTTGAAAAGGACCGACCTCACACTTGGCTAAAAAGCAGAGCAATAACATTTATCACTACGGGCACAATAACAACTAGGCAGCTGGTGAGTAGTCACGGTAGACACGAGTTGATGGGCAGCAATGTTTGAATATTCAAGCAATCGCCACAATAACATTTAGAGTATAGTTAAACGGTGTTGTGAAAACCGCAAAAAAGGACTATCACTTAAAATGCATGGAGCTGCTATCAAATACGATTGAGATCGTCCCCATCACTAATATCACTGCACAGTAAACTAACTTAAATGAAGTAATTACGGGCAGAATACTACCTGTAAAAACATCTGAAGTCAGGAAAAAGTAATTGACGTCGGTTCCAGTTGGGGCAAAGTAACTTACCCTGAAACATCTCCGACAGTTCATCCATGCTTGCGACAAAGGACTCATCAACCACAGCGCGCGTCCTCTTGTTGGACTTGATTAATGCCTTTCGTTCTCGTTTGCTCAGTTTTCGTGGTTTATCAACTACAACAAGAAGCCCGAATGGTTAAATCTGTGCCTTGAGCAACCAACCCACAAGCCACGGTCGTCAGCATGGAAGTTTTGCCTGGGAAGCAGCAGTACCAGCAGGCACCGATTCGGGACATGGAGTTGGACGATGACTTAACATTCGATCCAGCAGAGGGATACACACTACGAACTAATGAGAACCGAGTTGCTTGCAAAAAATGACTGAATGCGATAGCTAATTGGCGACAAACACCAGACTCATAAATCTACAACAGGTGACTACAATTTCACGGTACTTTTAGGCCATTTAAAGAGGCGAAAAAACAAAACACCGACTTAGACGGATTGGGTGTCAGACTTGAAACCAGATCAAAAAGAGTACACCTTGAAATCTAGTTTCACAATCGACGAACCAAGAGAATAGCTAGAGAATTTTTGATACAAGCGATTTACCATTAGCAAGGAATACATTGAAATAACTCGTACTCTTAGACACTCATTCAATGACAGTGTTGACAGATAGTTCACGGGGATGTGACAGCAATGTTCTTAGAAGTAACCAAATATAGGGAATTCGAGAGTAAATGTCAGCAGGTGCATACTTACCACCGTCACTAGACTGAAGATAGGAGGAAGGAATGCCCGAATTTGTGTGGGGCGCGGCTACACGGAGAAAACAAATACATCGAATCATTTTCAATGGTTGTATTTTGGGTTATTACTAGACACAGATGACATTGGGATGGAAAACAATGACCCTTTCTGGCAACATCAGCCCATTTATACCGAAGAAACCAGACGCAGACTGGCAATTTAAGTTGACATAAATGTGACATGTAGATGACCCCAACTATGCTAACGCTGCCTGAAGTGACGTTTCAAGACTAAAACTTGACGTTTTATTCCATTAAGAATGTTTATGGCGGCTCAAAAGGATGACGCAAACTGACGTTGTACTCGATTTCACCGAGCTTTTTCAGTAATAATCCAGGAAGTACAAAGTTCGATAGACCTCACGAGTGAAAGGATGATCGGAACAGGGGTACCAATACCGACAGGGTAATTCGGGGAAAGCCGCATACGCAGGGCTGACGTGCTACACGGTGACCTTAGATGTAGAGTAAAACGAAAGGGTCGTCACGTGCATGAAGCGATGCTAAGTTTTTCCTTTAAATGCTACCACAGGGGAAATGGGGATAATCGAGACAAGAAATCCACAATGCCAAGGGTCAATTACAACGAATTTAACATTCAACTTATCGGCTAGTTTTAACAAACAAAACAGTTCGAGTTAAATGGGTAATGTACACCATTTAGGATTAGAGGCAGCTCAGATGGATGGTCAGGTCACCACCAGCAAGAAATAATGAAACTAGAACCGTGTTCACATTCAAAAAGATGCGTCCGCAAGGACGCTAAATTTACTACGAGAAATAGGAAAGGAAACGGGGATCAAAACCTTCATCTACTGCCGGCCACCACAAAAGCCGATGCTCTGTAAAGCCAATGGTTTTTACAGCTTGACGTTAGTATAAAAAATCAGACAAGTGTCTTACATTCATCTTCAAGAGACTGCAAGACCCGTGAATTAAACATTGCACTTGATGCCTGATCCTGAAGTGGTAATAGCTCCTGGTCACTACTATCCTGCAGAGACGTATGAGAATGATCGGGCGAGTCAGATTGGTTGTGATTTTCTGGTGGCTGCGGAGCAACAGAATGGGGTAGAGGAGCTAAAGGAGACTTAGAGGGAGGTCTTCCGCGGCGTCCACTACCCTTGATGACAGCCGGTGGTGTAGATGAACTGGTTTGGGACGACGGTGTTTTCGGAACACCATAACCGCGCTTCTTAGACTTTGAGCGCATGCTTCAAGGCTACGAATGAGGATGCGGTCGGTAACTTTAATGTAGGAAAGATTACGTAGAATGGCAGATCCTAATAAAATGGCGCTGATGACAGCTAGAAATGGTCTGGGAAACGGCTAAAGCTTCAGCATAACAACTGATATCCTGAATGGTTTTAAATAAATAATGTTCACTTGTGACTGGAGGTGAAGCGATAATATTTAGCCCGTTTTATTTGTACAGACAGCATAAAATGAGGACCCTTAATTAGAATTTTGGGCTCTTAGAGAAGAATTCAAAATAAACGAGGTTAACCGAAAGTCAATCAACATAAACAACAAGAGAACGAATGCGAGATATGTACGGATGAAATAGATAATATAAAACTGTGCAACGCGATATTTAACATACTGGGAGAGATAAAAATGACATGAAACAATCAGACGAGAAATTAAATGCTTGAGTTAGTCCAACGGTTATAGATTTTTGATGAACTCAGAAAACGCACGTCTTTTGAATATGGAATAGGGATATCACTGCAACTGATTTTTAAGGACACTGTATAATAAGGAACAGTACAACCAGCTTAAAACAGCATTATGCAAGCAATACAGAAAACGAAAAGGTACACTTAGAAGCAGACACCATTGTAAAATCTCAAGGATCAGATAATAATAGACACCACCGGGTGCAGAGACATGCGAGTTAACTACTACTGTATACGTTTTAACAGAATGGGAATCATGGAAAGTAAAGCTGTTGCATTAAAAAAGCCCCATACAATACAAATAGAAGACATAATTTTCTAAATACTTTCACAAACATTCACTTATACTAAAGTTAACAGCGACTGCTACATGAGTTCTTAAAAAATTACTATCAAAAAATTGATGTTGCAGGGATATAAAAAATTTTTTTGGGCATAGCAGGCCAACAAAAATTCGATCCATGTATTGCAAAACCTTGGCTTATAGTAAAATAATATTAACCAAAGACAATTCAATATAGAAAAAATAATTACGTACCGCATAAGTGAAAAAAATTTAATAAAACGCGAGCGCAAAACGCGAAAACGGTTAGAACACCAGAATAGGCGCGGAAACATGCAACGAGATTACTTAAACAAACAAATTTCTGACGAAAAATTTAAGGTGACTACTCAGCCTCTTATGACAGGAAATTAAGCTTTTTATAACTGTATATGAAGGTTTTATTATATCTATGTCACTATTTTCGGATTATGCAAAAATATCTCTGCTTAGACGAAGATGAATGTAAAATTATCTCTGAAATTACTAACTAACTTGCCTGTCTTAAATCTGTCAATTAGCACCTTTTGAATCGCAATATGTACATCGTGTTTTTATCAAAAAGTTTACATATTATTGTAGTGTAATATGATAACTCCGACAATATAAACAAAAAATCCTGGCTTTTTCACTAGTTAGCAGTTAATGCTCAAATAATTGTAGGAGCAAATGGACTAAAATGATAGTTTAATTTGTTTTAAAAAAATAGAACGTTTTGAAAAATCACTGTGATAAATCAGAAATTCTCCTTTTTTTCTTATGGTTCCGATGTCTGTATTTTTGCTAGAAAACATTAATGACGTTTATTAATTAACATCCATTTTTTACTGTTGTCTTTTTTTAACACATTTGGCCTGCTTTTGTGCTATATAAGCCTTAGAATGCACTAATTAATTTGCATAATTAAGGAAACCAACATTTTTTTTAGAATTTTGCCCTTTTTTACTTAGTCAGCACGAATAGTTGTTGAATCGTGGATGCAATCTCATGACAGCTACTCATATTTCTCCGAATTATTTGCTTTAATATATTTAACGTGAAGTTAAATAAAATGCTTTCATTAGCAGATAGATTCCCTGCTGCCTTCTGCGGCATGGATTTTAGGTAAATTGAAAACCATGTAAATTAATTTTCGTCATTCTATGTACCTTTAAGTTAGGTTTTGTGACGCCCATGATGTAACAAATATCACAAAAAGACGCAAACATTTACCTTGGTGGCACATTACGGGTTTTTTGATAAGGCATCGTAGTTTTTAAGGCATCAGAGTAGTCAACAACCCACCTGGCGTCAGACACATTACGAAGTGAATCATATTTAATCACGTCAATTTACCATTCGGTGCATTCACTGCCACATGTGTAATCTGTAATTAAACTCGTTAACCGGAATTTTATTAGTCAGCAATTATGCAAGGCACCCACAACTAGAAAATGCACATCATAATTAGGTGTAACTACATAGTTTGAGGTTAATTCAGCATTCCCTCTTCTTTTACATGTCTTTTTGATTTCTGAGATGCCCAAACTTGTAGACTTATTTCAGCTCCTTCGTTATGGTTCACTCTCGCATGGCGGGGCCCTTTACAAAGGCATAGAACATGATCAGGATGGAATTGTCACTTAAAAACGCATTTCATTTTGTCCTTTATCCAATAAAGTGGCGTGATATTTCTGTAATCAATAAGTACAGTCGATTCCTTATAAACAACATTCACGTCATGAGAGTTTATTCCTGGTTGTCGATGTATTGTTAACTGTGCATCATAGACTTGGTACGTCACACTCATGATTACAGGTCCCAATTAGTAACACTTTGTTTATTTCTTCAAGGATAGAATTTCTTTTGAGTTTGTCTGAATTATTGTGAAAGCTTTGATAAAAGGTGATGTAATTGATGAGAGAACATGGTCCATCTGCCCAAAATCACAATCAGATTGTTTTTCAATAAGGACAACTTTCCTGCGAGGCTAAATTAAAATTTCGAGCATTATTGCATATTGCGAAACATATTGAATTGCAAAATTAACAACAGAATTTAGATATTTCTTTGTGCCTCATCTCATGTTATTTTAAAAATATCCTAGTGGTTAAATGGCATCTTAAACGTTCTATCAGTAGTTGTATAAAGCAGCTTTAAGAAAATTTTCAGTCTTTCTTCTGTATATACGCGCCGAATTGCTGAACAATTTTGGACCATCCTAAACGTTCTTAAACATTTACGTTTTATTATAAATAAGAATTATACAACATTAAACATAGTATACCAAACGCGTAAAACGATGTACCAGTGTGGCATTCAGGTTTCATCGGAAAGAAAATGGATATACTAAGACTAGTACTATAAAAGTAACACCCAAGATAACAGAATTTAGATTAGGAGGGTTAGATATGCCTATGTGTTTGCGCAATAATTTTGGTTTATCTGAGATCATTTTTATAGAAAACAGGTTCAAGTGTTTGTATGTTGATAATCATCCTTGTATGCCAAAGACGTACTACTTTGTGTCTGCAAACAGAGACAAATGACAGGGAGTGCCAAGTGACATGCATGTTGTGGTCTTGGTGCGGTCAGGGAATCGCGACCTGCATTGACAGTGGTCCGACCGAAGAATGAGAAGAGATGTAGATGGAGCGTAGCTCAACTAATTTTTCGATGCAGTAGCTGCGAATTTTTTGAGGGAAACAATCCAGTTTATTTTGCATTACTAAACATTGACCTCTAAATGGATATTGTCACGAGAAGTGCATTCAACTAAATCGATTGAATTGTATTCACACACGCTTGCTGTGTTTATCTACCCATATATATACCATTATATACCCATCATTTACATATAATATCAATCAGATACTCCCTGGCTTATTCATATCCGCGGATGGCTCATGACAGAAAAACATCAAAATATATTCCTGAGACGTATCACTTCGTATTGCAATTACAAATCTCTGCGTGTTGTCTCAATAAAGACACGACAAAGAGGTATTGATTCTTGGAATAGAAGCTATAGTGGTATAACCAACGAATATTCAGGGTTTTTTGTCGTCTAAACTATTCCAGTTAAATGAACAGCTTTTGTGAACTGAGATGAAGCGGTTTGGTTTATTAAAAAAAGTAAAGTTGTACTTCATTCATATAAGTAAGATATGCATTTGACTCATCATTTCAGGAAAAAACTTTAGAGATTTTGTTAGTAAAACTTAATATTCCAAATTTTAGTTTGCAAAAACATTGCTTGGGCCTCGCTTTACGAAACAATGCCAATGTTTCTAAACTGTCTCTTATGCGCATTCCAATGTAAAAATAAAGTTAAATTACTGAGGCCAAGTAGTTACGTTAATCAAATGACACTTTTACTATCTCATCAACTAAGTCATGTCTTTGTCAGTAGCAGGTTCTTTTCGTTGGGAAAATACTCCTTTTAAGATTTTACTAAATAAATTACTTAATATTCGGGCAATGTTACATAACACTTCCAGATACAAACACAAACATAGGAAACGATGTAATGATAACGATAAACAGAAAACCAAGATGGGCAGAATTGATTTTCTAATTATTACTAACTAGACTAATCTGCAATCTTCTGATGTTATTTATATTACCCAAGAGAAATTATGGATAATTTATTCATTACCTCCGTGTGCCCTATTTGAATTATAAGTCTTTGGAAACACAGATTTTTACAGATTTCAAACAGTACGTTAATCTAATTGAAAAGTAAGGTTTGGGATAATCTAAAGCTACACTTTTGTGTACTTCTTTGGGCTTTTTGTACATGCTAAAAATACTTTTATAGCCCCTATGGCTCTGCACTTTATAAAAAAATAACTTAAGCATAGCTTTTTCACTGTTGAAATTCTGTCAATATTTATTACCAGGGCATATAAAATCATAACATGTCATCTCATTTAAGACGTTTCTTTAAAAAGCTGTAACATCTTTGTAGTTGAAGTCAAGGTTGATTTAGGTTACCAAAAAACTTATCGGCCTTTATCTGGCAAAATGATGGGAACTTTGGATAAAAGAGTAACACTTTTGAAAATTTAAGGGTTTTTTGCGTGATTTGACAATGATATTAATTGCCGTACATTAATATAATCCTGATCGCATCCATCTTTCTTTAGGCTTCATGAATCGATATCAAATATTTGGTGGTGTTAAGATAGACCAAATGATTACCGCTGAAACTGAGAGTGTCGCCAATTGGCAGACCGATGTCTGCGGTAAATCATGTCCCTATCATAGTTCACAGGGATGTATGTGGTATTTCAGTTGAAAGAGTAAGCTTTATTAATAACTATGCTTTGGGGATTTAAGTATTTTAATAACTTTAATTTAATGTGTACTTTAACTTTCATGTCTCAACCGAAATTAGACTTCACCTTTCCGTGCTACTAATTTCTCTGGTTAATTCCGGAAGTCTATTTGCACCTGTAACTTACGTAGCCTCCCCTCAATATTGTCCAGTCTGTTTTTTTATCCCAGGACAGTCAATCAACTCATTCATGTAATTTTTAAGTTGCAGCTAACATTTAGAGCACTAAATATTTTTTAGGGAGTTAAATTCACCTCCGTAGACATTTACATATAGTTTGTTTTCATTGTACACTTTCCTTTTCAGCTACAATTTTGGTGTCTTTTGTGTTCATGACAATTCAAATGGTTAGATTCTTTTGAGAAGTGTAAACACACAACTCACTCCTGTTTGCACCCTCTAGGATTAAGTTATTACTAGGACATAAGTATACCCGAGGCCGTGAGCGTTCTGATCATAATATACGTATATAATATTGCAGCAAGTGAGTTCAGTTTGTATGCAAAGGTTTACTGAACTTATGAATTTCGTTGGACTGAGGACGGTTTCTACATTCAGTAGATCCTTAGGCTATTTCTATTTCGGAAATTTTGGGGCTATTTGGGTTTTGTATTTATCTAAAAGCGTGAATCATATAATTTGACAGGTCGACGAGTGTTTTGTTGAAGAAAATGACAGTTTTTTTCTTTGCCCCTAGAATTTATTTTGTACGAGTTGCTACATTGATTACCTTCTTCACTCTAAAGATCTATTATATCTGAGGGGACTGTCAACATAGTCGCATATGTTTTCTTCTAGTAGTCTGACTCCACTCCACTTTTCACCTTCGTTGATTTGGTTCCCTAGCGCAATATGTAATTTTTGATAGACTCTAGTAAATTTTGTACAGAAACCTTCTTGTAAATTTATCAGGTCGGCAATTTTAGCTTTGCTATTTTGAGATATTTGAGCCTTTAAATCTTCCATGCTATTGGATTTCCGGATTATATATACTGATGTTTTGCTATCATTACAAGACCCTGGGGTTTTCGTATTTCAGTGTCTTCCTGAACATCGGATCTTAAAGGTCCTCGTAATTCGCGGTGCCTCGCTTATGAAAAAGGACATATTTGGGACAAGTGATCCGTATTGCCGCATTAGTCTTTACCGCGACGTTCGACAATCTAATTGCATCGGTTCATACGTTCGGACACGAACCATTAAACGCACACTGAACCCGCTCTGGAATGAGGAATTTTACTTTCGTGTGAATCCCGACAGTAACCGTCTTGTCTTTGAGCTCTTCGACGAAAATCGAATAACCAGAGATGACTTTCTTGGGCTGGTCTCCATTTACCTTCCCCAACTGGATATTCGAGTTGAAGGTCAAGAGGACTCGTCTCGCAACGCAGCCAAAAACTTTCTTTTGCGACCGCGAAGGTGAATTCATCACTTTATGATTACCTTCATTTTGAAAGACCTCTTATTACACTTTTATATCCTCTAAAATTTCCTTTTCATGACAAACGTATTTAGATAATCAACAATACAAAATAACTAAGGGTAATATTTGATTTCGAAGTTTTCCTTTATCTTAAGAATATATTACCCTTTTTTATCGTTAAGTAACATGTTGACTAAGTTTTAGCAGAAGTTTGGTCTCTTAACTATGTAACAGAATAGGTTTACCTTCTGCTAGGAAATCTGAGGTTGCACTGCCGCATTGTACGGTTGTTCCCGTCAATGCCGAACTCGTTAACTAATGCACATATTGACTGATTTTCAAGTTGCATGGTAATTGGTAGTTATCCGACTTAACACACCAGACAGTCGCCAATTCGGTGAAGTAATTTTAATCTACCTGTTATACAAATCAGTCTGTTCGAATCCGCCTTTAGTCTCTACCTTTATTCTGCCATTGTGAAAAGTCTGTTTCATAGTTGGGTATCCACGATAATAATAAAAAACACGATTGTGAGACCTTGGTTAACTAGGCAGATTCTTAGTCTATAACTCGTAAAGAAGTCATTGCAGTTCACCACTGTTCAAATATTGACCTTACACGGTCATCTTATAAATAATCCGGAGCCTGTGCGCTTTACATTTTCCCCTAAAGTCGCCATCAAGCCAATACTGAGCACATGCTGAAATCCAAGTAGAAACACAAATTTTTGAACAGTTAATCAAGTATCTGGTAAATATAACTGTTCTGGCCCATATCTCCGCTTTGAAACGCGTGACCGGCATGCGTTTTAATTCAATTGAAGTGTAGTTTTTTTCGGTCGGTCGTTTGAATATCCAACAATACACTAAGAACGTAGCAAGTTCAAAGTACCAGTTAATAGCGCATAACTTGTCCGTATTCTTCAAGTACCCCATTCAACGAAATGCGTAAGGCGATTTGCTTGGACGTATGCTGTTTGTCTGACTTTGCGTGAGCCTACATCAGCACAGTTCCTAGGCACAGTAAAAATTTTGTTTTAGTACGCACGATAAATGTACGGACCTCAAGCATATTTATGCGGGCTTTGATGTGTTGCTTTTTTCCGTCACCGTCACGCCTTGACTTGTTAACAGCTAAGTGCTTTCAAACCCGTTAATCGCCAAGTGGAGATAATTCTAGCCCACACGTTTGTAACGCGTTTCGTCTGCTTTATTAAACCCTACTTTTTCATGTCATGATATGCGCCGCTTATAATGGTTCGAAGGAATCAAGCAGAAATGCCGCACTATTCCACTACCAAGTCTCATTTTAATTAATCTAGGTCACATGCTGCGGTCAAGTTACTTTCATGAATTTAACGCGTTTCTGTAAATATACTTCATCATGTAAACAAACGTCTGATTGGTTTTTGCGTAGCTAAGCGGGTTAACTGGTAAAACATTAGACGGAGGTCAGTTTGATTATTCCACACCTGGGATATTAAGATGCAAATCCAGAAGAAAAGTCCCTTTTTGATAAATTGAGAAGGGTTGACTTTCTCCTCGCACACGGCTGCTTTTAAAAACCACCTCATTTACTATATTTCGCTCACGGTTTGTGGTTATCTGCCCTCGGGACTAAGTCTTCATTGGCTTGTGATATCTAGGAATTCCACATACATCATATTGCACTACAAAGGCATGCTCTTTAACCAGGCCACGAGCCGCATATTTTTATTGTTATTCTGGAATTATGCGCAGCGCAGGTGGAATGGCATGCAATAGTGAACAGTAATCGGCTTAATCACTTACTAACCTGGGAGGATGGCGAAATTGAACTGATTATTGGAATGATGGCTATTCCGTAAAGCATCCGAGGAGAATATGTGTTGGAATGACAGTTGATTTCGCAGTGAATCAAAATTCTGCATCCCCACTAAAGCCAAGGCTCCAGACTGTGCAGGTCTTTCAGCAGCCAATGACGAAGGGAGGAATCCGAATTTTCCTTGAAGAAAAAAGCAACACCTAATGCACCTTTTTCCCTCAAAACACGCCACTGGTTGAGCCCCAGTACATCGACACCCCAATCCCCGAACACCCGTTTCCATCACGCTGTGAAGTGTTGTGAGGCGCCACCAGTGGCGCCCTCGTTTTCCCAGTTGTCCACTCGCAATGCGCTTGTAGTTGTGTGTGTGTGTGTGTGTGTGCAGGGCGTGTGGACGACGCGATCAGCTAGCGGGCGGACGCAAGAATGATACCCCAGCCTCGTCGTTGACTCCGACGCCACCAAAAAAACGCATAAACGTTCCCATTTGTGTAATTACCTCCCTTGGTTGTTTCCGACCAAAATAACTTTGGTATCAAGCCTTTGTGATATATACATTTTTCGACAAATAAAAAGCGGCATGGTAAGCTTCCTGCTGCGTTGTCTTCTCCCCATCTCAACGTCTTTCAGCAGGTGCTTGGCCATGTGCGAATCCCGAATCACCCCGACACCGCGCCATCTCACTCGTCATGCGAGTCTTTTGATGGCGTTGCAATCGGCTTCACGTGTGTACCAATGTGGGTGAATGTGTGTTTGTGTGTGTGTGTGTGTGTACATGTTTCGAGGTGGGCGTTGCCATTGTGACGGCCTTTTTGTATGTGATAACGCACCGATCAAAAAAGCTGATGGTAGATTTAAACAACAGGTGGTGGTGCTTTTTGTCTGGGTCGTCATCATTTCTAGCACCTACACACAAATACCATGCGGAATCGTCATGTAAAGTCACACTTTCGTTTTACTTCCACTTGCTTTCTCACTTCCTTCATTTTTGTGCCGACATTTTTGGTTGTCAAGCTGAACTCGCTAGCCTTTGGTTTGGTAATCGAGCGCGCGCTCACGTGCCCAGAGCGTTGTCGTCACGAGTTACACTTCTCACTGCCCGTGCACTCCTAGCCGATGCATTAGGCACACAACACACTCGAGTAAATCTGTTTTTTTTTCAGTCCGACTCAACCACTGCACCGAACACCGACCCTCCTTCCCTCCCTTTTGTAACGTTAAAATACCCCATTTTATCTACCCTCTAATCACGCCCTACCGAGTTCGTTCAAGTCATAGCACTAACTTCAACCCCATGCCCTTCAATTTGTGGACAGGTGGTAACTGCTGCGATTGACCTTTGATTAAGCGTGATACTCATGCCGCTTACCTCTTTGTGTCGAAGCTTTTTATTTGACGTGCATGGGCAAAAACGTACGTGTGTGTGTGTGTGTTCGAAGGGAAGGTCTTTTTCTAGGACCACCAATCCCTAGGCGCATTAAACAGTCTACTTTCTAGCATGCATTTTTTGATGATACCTTCTTTTTTCCCGTGCCTGTTTCTACCTTTGGCACCATCTACGGCTGTCAGTTTGTGTGGAGGGGGGAGGGTTGTGGTCATCGCTTGGGCTCGTCTACCGTGTGGATACGCAAGAAGGGAGTCACGTGTGTTTTGGCCCTAGCCAATGCATCGTGTTCGCAAGCCCAGCAAGTGTTAATAAAAAAACAAGTACTGAAAGTGGCTTCTTAGCGCGGGCAACGCAGCCGTGAACCCGCGGTGTTTGGCTGCCGTAGTTTAGTGAAACTGTGCCAGCTTCTGCCAATGCAACAGACTACAGAGGAAAGCATTGATCCGCCCTCTGCTCGAATCCCCGGTCTTTCGTTTCGTGAGCTCGACGCCTAGGCCTTCTTGTGATTGCTTGAGATTATTGTTGTGCTTCATTTCCTTCTGTCTAGGGGAGCCTCCTAAGTACGCGATTTTTACGTGCATGACCGGCCTGCTTCCTATGCTAGGCCTAGTTGCAAGTCATTTGATCTACGTGGGCATGTAATTGCGCACTAATAGAACTTTTGCACCCACACACACGCACACACACCATCTTCAAAGTATCGTTAGCTTTCGGCTGAAGACACTCACATCTTGCTCTGTAAAAAAGGAACGTTTTTTTTTGCAAATCGTCTGCCAACGTAGCCTGTCAGGCTTGTAAATTCTTTTTTTATTCCTTCATTTTAGTGCACGTTCTCGAGTTCAGGGCAAGCTGCTCGTTGCTCTCTCTTACCTTCCTCCCTCCGTCGACATTCACACCACCCAGATCCGATCAGACTTCCACAAGGCCCCCTGCGCTTCAACCAGGGTAAGTGTATCACTTCAAACAGGTAGCATTGGTGCAAGCAGAGTTCGTTTAAATCCATCTACGCTGACATTTTAATGCCTGTGTCTGTGTACGTTTGACTCTTGTGATACTAAACGACGCCTGCTGTTGTTACCGTCGTGCTTATCTCGTGCAAGATAACCCGGCCTAGATTCTTGCCGATCTTAACTTCGAAAAGGCATTAGCTGTCCAGCAATTTTGGCTTGTTCGCTGCTTCAACACAAGACACCGCCTAGTATTAGTTTTGGATTAGATTAGTTGTAAGCAACTTTACAAACAATCTGCTAGCACGAATCGTGGCTTTGGCTTTCTGTGTGGCTTAGAGGCATCGTTCCAAGCCTCCCTAGCTCGAGCTCCGTGTTTGCCATTGTCCCACTTCTGGTTTGATATGGCTGATGCGTCTATCGCATACCCGAAATTCTTCAAAAACAGTCAAATCTACGGGACGGTACTTCTCTATTAATGTAGTAACGTCTTGGTGTCTGATCAAGCCAGTTATCGTTTCATAACAATAACACCTCCACCAAGTCCCCGGCCTCATCTTGGTACCTCCAACAACGGACCAGACAAGTCAGTGCTTTTCCCGGTTTCACAATGCAGGCTTGTCTTTTAGCTCTCCCTTCCCAGCTCCGCTATTCTGCCTCCGCTAGAAGCGAACGGGGCAAATCTGACGAGTCCCTCGACCTCCTCGGTGTCAGTGCCCAGCGCGTCCGCCTTCAGCGTCCCGCCTTCTTCTTCTTCCGTGAGCCACAACCCCCCCGCCCGATCCGAAGAGGCACCGCCGGACCACCCCCAGTCCGGTCCGATCACCACCAGCATGGTGATGTCCAACGAAGTCGACGACTGTCTTCCTGAGGGCTGGGACGAACGAATCGACCAGAACGGCCGAACGTACTACGTCGATCACATCCACAAGCGAACCCAATGGGATCGACCCCTAAGGTACGGCAGCAATTCCCTCTGCGTGATTTCACCGTGATGCAGGAGCATCCCTCACACTCCTTCAGCATTTCTTGCTTTGTTGTGTTTTGTCTAGTCGGCTGCCCGACGGTTGGGAGCAGCGAACTGACGTCAACGGCCGCGTCTACTACGTCGATCACGTGAACCACAGAACCACGTGGTACAGTCCATTCTGCCCCGTACGTCCAACAATCCTCGTCTATCTTTCAACTCACCACAGCCATCTCGCTAGTAGCTTTTGTGTTGTCTACTTCTGATGCTCCCTCTCGATTTTTATTGGTTATTTAATGATCAGAAGGTCATTCTATCACAGCTAAATTGTGGAATTAAGTTCAAGTTTGTGGGATGAGTTTATGGAGCCTGCCTTCTTCAATTGGAAAATGTTTACAAACGAAGACGACAGTCCGTAATGAATCATCCTTCATCGTACTTTTTTTCAATGCAATTGTGCCAACCGTCTGGGTTTATGCATTTCTCAAAAGCTAATTCGGTGGTTAGTCGTTTGAGTGCAGCAGATGCTAACGGAATACGCATTCTTGTTTAAATTTACTCTAGGAAAACGAGGTCTTTGTGAATTTGCCGACCCAGGACACAACTGCTGCTCCATCGAGGACCGGCGATGAAAACGACTCCTTTGGCGAAAGCAAGTTAACTTGTTTTTGTTTATCAACAGTTAAAAAAGAGCATTATAACCCGAGAAGCCATCGGTTTAAACCCTCGGACAAGGCAGGCCACCGCACGCCGAGACTTAATCACGGTTAGGTAGCAACCTGTCTTCCGACACCCTGGTTTAAGCCGTTTCGTGTTTATGTCACGAGAATGCGTGTCAGGCGTGGTGGTGATCGCACCAGGCTTAACTCGGTCAGCGAGTGATCCGCCGGCGTGCAAATCGGCCTACTTTATGACTGCTGCGCGCCTTTCAGACCCCTACTCTGAACCCGCCGACGGTCCCAGCAACGCGTCGTCGGAGCGCGGCCACGCCGAGGGCGGTGGTGGTGGTGGTGCTGACGGTGGCGCAGAGCACTCGCGCCTGCCTCCTTCACAGGTCAGGAGAACCCTTCGACACGGACAATCTCTCGTCTCCAACGCCCTGAATAAGCCCCTTGCTCCGATCTACATGACTAGTACGTCGTCGTGTCTCTTGCTTCCTCTCTCTCCCTCTCTCTCTTTTATCCGCCACACACTGCCCAATTTTCAAGTCAATTTCGTCTATTATCTGTCGCTGAAGTAGATTAGTATTATTACGTGAAATCGTTGTACCTAAATGAACCAACGAACCTGTCTCATTGATGCTGACATTACATTACTGGTGAACAATATTATCCAATCTGTAAACCACCATCTGTTTCCTAATTGACTTTCGGGTTTGGGTAGTGCTGGCTTTGGCTGCACAATAATGCCATTCGTTCGTGTTCTGCCCCCTCCCCTCCAAGTCCATTGGTGGGATTTTTCGTTCCTTCTACTTAATTTACATCAGTAGAGTACTTGACTTGCGTTAATTCCTAGGTCTTTCCCCGGAGGAGCAGGTGCAGGCAGCGCAAACCATGTACCTCCGGCGCCACCAGGTTCGCATAGAGGACACCACGCCAAATGCGCCTCCTGCAAACGACGCTCTCGCGGCTGCCATGGAAACCAGTGCCACGACGCTTCCCACTCCCAGCGACGAGGAGCGGGAAGTTGTCGGTGACAATGAGGAGGAGGAGGAGGAGGCGGCGGGGGTGGAGGTGGAGGATGGATCCGGCCGTAACCAGGTAAGCAGCGGACGTCTGAATGCGTGTCGTGAGGCAGAAGGCTCACATCAGTAAAAGTGGTTGTAGTGCCAAAAAACGACCAACCGGTGCTCGTAATAAGCACCGATTGGTGCGCAGGCGATGCGTGCTTCCCCAGCTGACACACCAGTTGATCAATTACTCGATAGTTGCTCCCACTAACTGCTGAGGTGGCTGATGAAGTGATTAAATCAGCCCGTCATTTATCCTGTCACTTTCACTTGAATCGTGTCTTCCTTTTCCTCACTTTCAACAGCTCCCAGGACCACCACCGACCTCCACTCTCGCAGAATCGGGACAATCAGAGGGTAAGACCACTTCAATGCCCTTGTAGTTGGTTGCGAGTAAGGCGCCATTCTAAAGATGTTTGAAAGGCACAGTCAAGTTGTAGGCTATAGGCGTAAACCAAACCAAATTAAAGTGGTGATGTAAAAAAACCCATACGCACACCGTAGTAGGCTGTCTGTCGCGACCCGACTAGAAATAAACGAAGCGTATTGGGCTGAAACGCAGCCCATGCCAGAGGGCTTGAATCCTGTTGGTAGAACAACACCGTCTCTTTAGCGCAAGGTTGCATTCGGCAGAGACAATTGGCTGGTCTGACGTGCAAATATACACATTTCGGGCCAGCACATTCCATTCGTCTTCACCAGGGTTGCTTGTCTTAACACAAAAGTCCCTCCTGACCCTGTGTTGCTCATTCTTTTAGGCATCCAAGAGACGCGTACGCCTTTGTTGGCGGCGATGCCAACTCCGGGCGACTCGCCTGCAGCCCTCCCCCTATCTCCAACCTCTCCTGACGGTGCCGGTGCCTCAGTAGACAACCGAATATCGATTGTGCCCCTTGACGATGACCCTCTGCCCCACGGCTGGCAGATGGCCATCACTGCAAGTGGTCGGAAATTTTTCATCAACCACAACGACCAGACCACCACTTGGGTAAACGCCGAATTAAACGTCCTACCTACTGATGTCGATTTCAGTAGACGGTAATGTTTTTCGCTGTTGCAGAAAGACCCGCGTAAGAAGCACGCCGCACCACCGAAGCGCGACGCCACGTCGTCTGTGATGACCAAAGACGCGCAGCGACATGATCTGCCTGCGTTGGGACCGCTTCCGGTACTTCTAATATACCTGTTGTCTGAATATCGCCCCCGTGCATATATGTGTACAGAGGGAAGAGCCTTCATAACTTGTTGTCTGCCCCATCTACCACCTGTTCCCTTTCCGCTTTGTAGCCCGGCTGGGAGGAGCGAGTGCACTCGAACGGCCGCATTTTCTACATCAACCACAGTACGTTTTTCGTCACCTGCTCTCTCCCTCTCAAATGCTCGAATTATGATCACTTTCTGGGCTAGGCGTCGGTGCTTGTTTGGTTTCCGTGGTTACTCTGCAAGCCTACTCCTAGAACCCTCCAACCCCATGCAGTCGAGCTTACCAAGAAGGTTTCCAACAGTAGCCAATGAGAAACGATTAACGTCGCCACAGCCCCCCCCCCCCCCCCCC